CTGACAGCCCCTGCCTCCCACAGGTCACCTACCTAGGTGTGGCCTTAAAGGGACAGACTCACTCCCTGAGTCATAAATGCATCAACCCAATCTTCTGTTTCCCAACCCCCATACCATAAGACAGCTTACAGCTTTCCTGGCAGTTAAAGGATTTTACAGAATTTAGATCCCTAGGTATGCAGTCCCTGAGGAGACACCTTTTTATGCTCCTCCTAATATTCCTATTTGGGTTTTAAATAATGTATGGCCACCCATTTCTCTTAGAAAACTTGCCTCCAACAGACTCTGCTCCTCTGGCTGACTACCTGCCTTCTCAGGGAACTTCTCAGAGAGCATGCAAACCATATCCTGCCCCACCCTATAACAATTTCTGTTAAACCAGGGCATCTTGTTCTCCAAAAAGGATCTTCTACCCTCTCCATTGGGACTTCGATGGGCCAGCCCTCACCTGGTCATTCTCATGACACCCACTGCTGTCAAGCTCAGTGGGACCCCCCAGTGGCGGCACCTCTCAAGAAACAATTAGAAAAATGGAGAAGGGAATTGGAGGACTCTTGAAATTGTCTAGGGAACAACATTTCACAGTGGTTCTCCTGGCCAATGCCCATCCTAATGCCTATGTTTCTTGCTCTCCTATTCTTAAGCTTCCTCCCTTGTTTCATACCGCATGTCTGCTATTGCTAATCAAAAGTTTAACCAGTTGTACCTCCAGGGATACCAACCTCTCTAAAACTGTTCAGAGGACTGTTATGAGGGCCCCCACCAGGACACAGGAGCCTGAGGATCCTGCCCCATACAATGCCCCCTGCCAGCAGGAAGCAGCTAAAGAGACCAATTCTTTGCCCCAATTCCTGATCCTCAGCCCCTACCCTCATCATTATTAAAGAAAAAATGGGGGGATAGAACAATAATGTCACAATTTTGTGAATCAGCAAAAATGGTAGCCCCGCCCTTAAACAAATTCCCGTGCTCTAAGACAGCCCCACCCCACCAGAGACTACTGCGCATGTGCTAACTTCCTTACCCTTCCCCTGCTATAAAAGCCACTGCTCACCCAGACTCAGGGCTGCACCATCTTTTCCCTGGCCAGCCTGGCAGTTTAGGCCTGCCATTAAACTTTGCTCTATGGACGTGAGTCTTTTCTCGTGAGCTTTCTTTGTGAGCAGCATTTTTCCTAACATGATCTATTACACTTTCTTTCATTCTATTTGGCCACCTGGCCTCCATTGTTCATTGTAAGCCTAAGCACACTTCTGCCTCAGATGTATCCTTTGACTTGTAAAGTCTTTCTTAAGCTTTGTGTATGTTTTTTTCCCTACTTTCTTCAGGGCTCTACTAAAAGTTACTTTGAAGAGTCTTCTCTGACTACCTTATGGCATGTACTCTACCTCTAGCACCTTATTATTTTTATCACTACCTAAGATTATATTATCTACTTGTCTTGTCTCTGTCTCTCCTACTAAAACATCATCTTCTGGAGACCAGAAATCCTGGGTTTGGTCAGTTATGTTCATATTCTTGCCATAAAAATATTGCACAGTTGAATGTGAATAAATCTAACTAGAAATTACCCAGTATTTGTGTTCTAACCATTTAAATGAATCAAGAAGCAGGAGTTAGTAAGGGAAGGGGCAATATTAAAGATGACTCACTGGTTTTTGGCAGAAGCTTATGGGTGGGTGATATCATTTACTGAGACAAGGAAGATCAAAGTAGACTTGTAGGGAAGAATTTCAGTTTTGCACATCTAAAGCTTGAGATGCTCATGGATATCCAAGTGGAGATGTTAAGTAGATCATTGTGTATGTAGGTCTGGAGTGAGATCTAAAGGTCTGGAGTTTTATCTAGACAACTTTCTGACATTCCTCTGGTTAAGCAAGACTGACTGTATAACAGGTAGAGCTTTGTTGCTGAAATAAAACCTGACTGTTCATAGTTGATGAAACTCTATTAGCTGCATAAACTGAGAGCTTCCTGACAACTAAGAGAGATAAGAGAATCTGTACTGTATGGGCAGTTTTTGTTGAGGCAGGATCTTGTTTTGTAGTTCTGGCTGGCCTTGAATCTGTGATCTTCCCTGTTTCCCTAAGTGCTGGGATTACAGCTGTGTACCACCATGCCTGTCACAATCTAACTCTTCAACAAAATGCTTAAATCTTACTGAGGGTGTTCTGTGAGTAAATGGATCCATATAGTTTTATAAGCTATTTAACCTGCTTATAAAAGTGCAAGTGTTTGTACCTTGTTTAGAAATGGGTCCTTCCTGTTTCTTCCAGTTTATTCTAGAGTGCTAACTGGATTATATATGTCACTTAAAACAATTTGAGCACTTCCTGCCCCATTTGCAGAGAGCACCCAACAGATTAAAAGTGTGATTCCTTGCCTTAGGTGTGTGTACCTTGTCCTGGTAAAAGTGATTCTAGTCTAAGTATCAAATGAACTTTTTTTTTTCCTTTTAGAAGTATACTAGTTTTTTTTTCTGCAGTTACTGCCGCACAAAGGCTGAGTTCAAGAAGGACCTAGCATTTCAGTGATACCTGAAACACACTTGGGACTCTCCTAAAACAATGGAATTTTTGATGTCCTGGACAGAGAGGCCCCAGTGGTTAGCGAGTCCAATATAGAACCTCCAGTCACTTAAGCATTAAATTCTTACCTATGAATGGGTAATCACATTTTAAAACATTTTCTTTTCCTTCTTAAGAAATTTCACACATTAACAAGTAATTTTGAGGTGTATTTATATCAAAGATGAAGTGAGATGGTGAAGAGTATTTTAAGTGCTTGGAAGCATACCTCAGTTGGACATATCCAGTATTTTGTCACTCAGTAATTCAACTGGGAATTACTATGTAGCACATGGTGTCTATCTCTGTATGAATATGCTATATTTCTAGTTGCGTATCTATTTTCATATACCATGTAGATATATAGTATCTATTTCTGTATATGTGTACAAAACAGAATTAGGGGATGATCTATAGAAGACATTTTTATAATGGAGGGGGATGAACTATTTTGGTATAAGATATGCATACACACACACACACACACACACACACAGAAATGTCACGATGAAACTCCCTATATAACCATCACAAACAGAAATGCCTTTTTGAAAAAAATGAAGGATAGGAAGGTAAAACAAGTCTTGTCTGGGGGTTAGTACCAGTAGGAGGAGGGAGGGCATAAGGGTGAAGGAGAGCCAATAAGGTGGAAGTACTATGTATTCATTTATGAAAATGTTAACGAGAATTGTTGAAACTGTTCTAAGAGGGGAGGGGATTGAGGCGGGGTTAAAGGAGAGAGATGGAGGGGGCGAGTCTAAGATATATTTTAAGTACCTTTGTAAATGTCAGTGCGCGCGCGCGCACACACACACACACACACACACACACACACACACACACACACACCTGCCTAAAAAAAGGTGAGTGAATACTTTATAAACATTAGACTGGGTTTCGAAGGATGGATACTTTACTAGGCAGATGAGGAATACAAAAAACAGTAGGGTTGAGGTGAGTCGGAAGAGGAATGCTGGATGAATGTAGGAGCACAGGATGTAGAAATTTAGGTAACAATAAGAAAGGCTTTGAGTTATGATATGCTGTCATGCATTATCACTCAGCATATAGTAAAGGCGTTAGCTTTAAAATTGTTCCGAGGTTGTCAACACTTTCTGGTATCAATTCCAAAAATGCAGAAGTACTAAGTTGCATGTGAATTAAAATGGACCTTTTTTTTTTACTTTTTTACTAAAAGGTGGATATTTTTGTTTTTGAGACAGGGTCTACTATCTCAGGCCCAGGCTCTACTATCTCTACTAGCCCAGACCAGCCTCGAACTGGTGATCCTCCCGACCGCAGTTATCATAGCCGTGCATCTTGCTGTATTTTACAAACTTTCCCTTCCTAGTCTGGACATACACTAAACAACAGTTATTTGTTGACCACAGAAATACCTAGAAACTTCATCTTCTTCTAAGGATATTGTAGGAAGCTGCAAATTCCAAAGATCGAATAATTCAGTTTCTAACCAAGTCTGGAAGATTAATTTTACTGTGATCCCGAGTCACACGCCTAACGGTTAAAAAAAAAAAAAAAACCTCAACATAACTCAGAAACCTCATAAAGATGATTCACGGCATTTATATACTCTATGTAGTCAAAGACTAAAACCTATTACCCTAGACCAAACCTTGGCTGATTTAACAAACTTCCCAACCCTCACTAATTTAAAAGAGGGTGGGAGGATTTGCTAACATCGCAAGCAAAGTAGAAACAATCCCTGGTCCTTCTTTGGACACAAAATTTCAGGAGAAAAGCAGGCAAGCACAAATCTTACGTGGAGAGCAAAGCTCAAAAGGCAGCCCTAACCGGGAGCGGCCTCAGCCTGGCGGCTCCGGCCGGTACCGCAGCGGCGGCAGAGCGACCGCAGTGTCGCCGAGCCGGGCGGGGACCCTGCGGAGCCGCGGCAGGCAGTCCGTACAGGCGCGCGGCCCGCCGCTCCGCTCCACCTCACGCACCGCGAGTCTGGGGTCCCCATGGTAGTCAGAGCAGGAACAAGGGACTGACACCTCAAGACAGCCTCTTCACTGGGCTGGGAGCCCCGGACATAAGAAGCCGCCGGGCGTGCGTTTCTCCCTTGCCCCAACCCCACAGACGCACAGGACACAGTCGCCTTCGGGAAGGAAAAAAAACCACATTCCCGCTCGACGCAGCCGCTCCCGCCGCTACTGGTGAGTAGAGGCGAGTGGACTCCAGGAATCCTAGGAAGGGCGGGGCTAGAGGAAGGGGGGAGTCTCTCTAGCCGCTTCTCCGAACCAGCGCTCCTTGTTCTCTATGGTCCCCGCGCGGCCGTCTTATCGCACGCCACTTCCGGTTCCTTTTAAAGGACCCACGCTGAGCAGTGGAAGGGGGGGGTGCGTGAGACGAAGGTATAAAAGGGAGCGAGAGGGCGGGACCGATGGGGTGGGGGGGGGGGGATTAGCAGTGGAAGGGGCGGAGGAGGCGCAAAGGGCGCGCTCTACCGTCACGTGACCGGGACGCGCCGTTCTTCCGTCGGCCATTTTAGGTGGTCCGCGGCGGCGCCATTAAAGCGAGGAGGAGGCAAGAGTGGCCGCCACTGCTTCTTATTCTTTTTTAGTGCAGCCGGAGAGAGTGGGAGTGTGCGCCGCGCGAGAGTGGGAGGCGAGGGGGGCAAGCCAGGGAGAGGCGCAGGAGCCTTTGCAGCCACGCGCGCGCCTTCTCTCTTGTGTGCTTCGCGAGGTAGAGCGGGCGCGCGGCAGCGGCGGGGATTACTTTGCTGCTAGTTTCGGTTCGCGGCAGCGGCGGGTGTAGTCTCGGCGGCGGCGGAGGCAGTAGCACTATGTCGGAGGAGCAGTTCGGCGGGGACGGGGCGGCGGCAGCGGCAACGGCGGCGGTAGGCGGCTCAGCTAGCGAGCAGGAGGGAGCCATGGTGGCGGCGGCGCAGGGGCAGCGGCGGCGGCGGGAACCGGAGCCGGGACCGGGGGCGGTACCGCCGCCGGAGGCACCGAAGGGAGCAGCGCCGAGTCGGAGGGGGCGAAGATCGATGCCAGTAAGAACGAGGAGGATGAAGGGTGAGTAAGGGGCAGTCCAGGATAGCGAGGCCCAACTAGGCCCCCCTTCCCATCCCCCGCCATTAGGCCTGGTCTCGCCCGCCCTCCAGGCCCCTCTGCAGCCTCCTTGCACGGGGCTCCCCTCTTGTACTTGGGGCTCCCCGGGCCTTCGTTTCCTCCTTGCCTGCCTGCTTGTCGCCCCCTCCCCCATCACACACGTTTCCACCTTTAGCCGTCACCATGCTGCTCCCGGCCCGCCCTCCTTTCCTCCCTCGCCACGGGTCTCCTCCCACCGACTTAGCCGCCAGCATTTTTCCCGCCTGCCCAAGATAACCTTTTTTCTCTGCCCGCTGTCCCCTCCTTTCCCGGTTTTCTAACGTCCCAGGCATAAAAATGGTAAAGCACAAAAAAGCTTTTGGCCAGGATTACGGAGGTTTACTTGTGCTGCTCCTCCACCCCGGACGATGCGGTTATTTATAAGCCCTGGCTATAGGAAACGTGTAGGCTGGGCGGCCCCGTTTCTCTCCCGTCGGCCTCTGGCCGAGCGTTTTAAGTAGTTTGGCCTTGGGATTTGCTCTTTTCCCCTGACACTATCGCGACAGCACGTCGTCCAGGCCTCTCCGTCTGTCTTGCCGAGGCGCCAAGTTCCTGCCCGGCCTGGCCGCGCCGCCCTGCCCCCGCCCGCCGCGCTTTTCCAACCGCGCATCCTTTTCGCGCCCTCTGCCTTCGGGTTCCCCGGCACTTCGTACACATGGGACGCTTGCCTCACTTTTTCTGTGCCACTGAAATTTTTTACATCTTTTTTTCCGTGCCCTTGAGCCTTTTTTGGTTTCTTCCCTTTCCCGCCTTCTCACTATTAACCGGAGGCCCGTCCGCCCTTTTTCACACAATGAACAAATCCTGCACTGTTACGGGATAATTATTTTTGCAGGATTTTGGGGTGCTAATTTGCTTCCTCTAATTGGGGGTGACCTGTGTATATGCTGCCTGAGTTGCTTTTAATATATTAAAATGCAGCATTTGGGACAAGGAGTTAGCAGGAGGGACGAAATCTGGGTTCTTAGTTGGGTATTCTTGTTCCCATTACTGACTGCTGATCTTAAGTTAACGCTTCCATTCCTTTTTTGTAATGGGTGTGCGTGTTTGGTGGAACGTAAAAGGAGTAAAATGTCGCTTTAACCCAGTATTAGAAAGCATGATTTCCTTTACTGGTAAGGGCCCTTGGATTTGTAGAGGGAGTGTGGGGGGGGAGAAGCAATTTGGAGTATAGTTTTTACTAATTCCAGCCCAGGCTGAGTCTTGTCAGGCTGTTTTACTGACTGTACTGGCTTTGGGGGAGTGGAGGTGGGAGGGGGGGAATTAACTTTTTTTTTTTAAATGAAATAGACCTAATCTTGAACTATATATGGCTTAACTTGAGAAAGGAATTTGTTAAATATTTGGAAACTTAAGCCCTTAACATTTTGGTTTTTGCTTTCTGAATTCTGTTCTATGGTCAGAGGCACCAAAATGATTAATTGTGTAACTATTTGGGGTTAGACTTTCTATTAGCCCCTCAGTTTTCAAGTCGCAAAACAGCTGCTTTTGTAGTTGTCTACTGTTGAGCTGAAGTGTAAATGAATTAGTTTTTAACCCTAACAGTGTCAAAAACTAAAACTAGAATTTTGATTGGTTGCTGTACCGGTTGTTAATTCCCTAGCCATTCAAACTCCTCCCCACGACACTCTGAAGCAGCGACGGCACAGCGGGAAGAATGGTAAAACTTTTAAATTTTATTTCTGTATTATAAAGGTTTCATAATATGCAGAAGCTGTGTGTTAGTTGCCCATTGTTCCCCAGGAAATTCTATGTGTTAATACAGTATAGGATATTTTATTCCTGGGATATAAAACGTTCTTAAATACCCTGAATAATCTTTGGGCAAAATTGATGCCATTACATGGTATTTGGTCTGTGGTAATGCATGTTATTACATTTCGACCAACTTTAGTTAAATGTAACTAGTATTATTTTTATATATATATGGGCAAGAAAAAATGTTAGTGTAACTACGTGTTTTTGCTAAGATGAAACTTTTTTGTTAATTCTAAGTTTTAAGTCCAAATATGAAGACTACTTGATAAAAAAAATTGTGTTTAAAATGTCTTGCATGTTTACTGAAGTATCTGGAGATGACAAAAGTAAAAGAATTATCTTTAGTACTGTGTGCATTATACGAAATGTTTGTCTCTTTTCACCAACAGTGTTTGTAAATACATTTTTAATAAGCATCGGATATGTACCTTTCAGAGGCGGGCTAATGTGGCTCTCCACTACAGCTCTTACCAGATTTTTTATTTTCAGTGTGATTTGGCTGGAATGTTAATTACACTTGGTTGACATGTATTCACAATTGCATGACTTCTCTTTGGAGGCTGGTAGGTTGAGTATTGTTCTTTTTTATCCTGACTTTCCCCTCCCCTAAATGTCGATCTTTCTGTCTTTAGGATCATATTTAAATTATCCAGGGGTTTGATTCCTCTACCAGCCAGTAATTTTCTGATAGTTGTCCTGTATCTATACAAACTACTTTGTATTTTAAAAGCCCATTTGGGATAACAAATTTTACACCTAACTACTTATTACTGTGTTCGCGTGCACTGAAATCTGTCCAGTTTTAAATTTGGTATAAGTGCTGGAGGAGTGGCTTAAAGTGGTAGAGTATATGCCAAGCAAGCAACGGGGAAGGGGGGGCAAATTTGAGAGAAAGGCAAAGTAAAAAGGGGGAAAAGTGGGGTCAGAGTTTGACATACTGAATAAAAATGTTTAGATATGAACATTTTCCCTTTATTTTGGTGACTAGTGTTCACAGTTCAGTTTTGCTAATAGCAGCAAAGTAAGATTACACTGTAACAATATTTGACTTCATTAGCTGTTTTGAATCTTATGTGATTGTTCCCAGTAAATTGAATTGACTATATAAACTTTTTTAGATTTGAAGTCAGTGAATTATCCTTGCCCTTGAGATTACATAATGGGTGACCTCTTAGGAAAAATTGACAACTATTTCTAGTTAATGAACATTTTAGATTATGACCAGCTATCAGCATTTTAGAGTATGTCAGTTGTTTTCCACTGAGAATAAAATTTTAATGAGGCAAGTTTGCACTCACAATGCAGCCCCTCCCCCCCCCCTTTTTTTTTTTTTACTTGGAGACAGGGTCTTACTATGTTGCCCAAGCTGGTGTTAAACTCATGGGCACAAGTGATCCTTTCTCCAAAGCCTCTTGAGTAAGCCAGGACTACAGGTATGCACCACCTCAGTGGCTTGGTAGTTCTTATTTTTAATGTCTAATATTTGACTTTGTAACTGTCCAGTCACACAGCCCCATTTTTGTTGCAGGTCCTAAATTTTTCTTTTTGAACAAAAACTTAAAGCCCTTAAAACAGCTTTCCATGTATGTCCACTTTCTGTCTTCTTTCTTTCTGAGCAAAAGCTTTTAGGTGTATCGGGCAACAGTTTGATAATAAAGTCAATGGTGAAGCTAAGACTGGTTAGTAGATACACAATCATCTAAATTTATTTTTTAAAACAAAATTCTGTATTTTTACAAATGTGAGAATAAAGAGGTAATTTTATTCTTTAAACATATGGGAATGAAGTTATTTTTAGGGGGGCATTCCTGTTAAAACTACTGGATATTTCCATAGTTTACACTGGGGCTTAAGAATTGCTCATTTATATCGTAAAACTGATGACTTCCTCAGTTCATTTTGCTTTAATATTTACAACAATAACATCCCTAGGGTTTTTGTTGTTTGGCTGATTTTGAGACAGGGTCTTGCTATGTAGCCCAGGATGGCCTCAAATTTGTAATCTTTTTGCCTCTCAGCCTCTTGCGTGCTGGAATTACAGGCACATACCACCACTTCCCTACCTATCCCTACTTTTTATTCATTGGTAATTTCATTGGAATTCTCCATTTTTGCTTTGTGGAATAGTCATTCTGTTGTGTGCAGTGCTACAGTTTTTTGGAGTAGATACTTAAACTTAGTTGTCTGGTGAAATATACATGTCGTAGCAAGTGACATGGGGCAGTTTTTAAAATTTAAAAAACAGTGGAAAACTAGAACATTATGTTAGCTCAGGCAGTTTTATAAGGTGAGTAAATTGATCCCCCATTAGATTGATCCCCCTATTCAGTTATCAATTATAGAACAATAATGCTTCTGTATTTACAGGACAGTAGTAGATCTGGTTCTATAACCATTAAACATAAGCTCAAGTGTGATTCTTCCCTTTAGAAATTCTGCTGTAGGTTATCTCCTGTCTTAATTTTTAAAGAATGGGCTTGCACATATTTGATTTAAATACCCTAGTGCTTTTGGGAAATGTGAACATTGTTTGTTTTGTAAAACAGTTTTATAGCAGTCTGATGCCAAATTTGCTGGCCTTTGATTTAGTAAATTTTGGTTTACTGTGAACAGTAATCAAGACCAAGGGTAGATGGGTCTCATTGTTAACATTCCTTGGAACCTTTGACAGATTTCCAGGGTTAAAATTGCAGAAAAGAATGCCCCAAATCCTGAGTTGATGAACATTTAAAGGAGGAACACCCCCCCACCCCCCGCTTTTCTTTTTTAGGTGCTGGGAACCAAACCCAGGGCTTGAATGTCTTACTACCCTTGAGCTACATCCCCACCCCAGAGTACTAAATTCTTTTCAAGTTCTTATCTATTAAGAAAAGTACTAAAAAAAAATTACAGAATCTTTAAAGTTTGGAATTGGAGAATATCATTGAAGTTTTTTAGTACTTTTTGTGATAAGCATTTAACTTAAACCTGGGTGTTTTTTTTTTTCCTAGACTGTGTGACCCCTTGTATAAGTTCAGTTTATATTTTTAATAATGCCAGAGTAGTTTATCATCTGTAAGATTGTTCTAATTAGAAAAACTATATTGGTATAACTTACGGCAGTCATGAAGGATTAGTTCTAGCTTCCAAGTGATAATAAAAGCCATGTTTGAAGACTTACAGAAAAGAATGACTTTCCCTTTTCACTTAAAGCTGCACCTCATGTATGTGCACATTCCCAAATGCAGTCATATTTCTGTTAGTCCGAGTTTGATTTGACTTTAGTTCTGCTTCGACATTTTAGTAGATAGGGCACTGAACTGGATGCTGGAAGCGTGGGATCTGTTTCTGTTACTTCCTTTCCAACAGTGTGGTCTCAGGTAATATAACATGTTTGTTACTTGGTTTGCTGATCTGTATGTAGGAAACAATGCTCACCACAGGAGGATTGACTATAATAGCCTACTTTCATACCTTGTGTATTTATCCGGTGCCCTAATAGTTGGTACTGCCCAGTGATTTACTCCTGTGGAGTAAAGGTAAGCTTGTTCTAGTTTCTGGAGTGTTGGATTAGTATGTTCATGCTACGTATATAAGAATACTTGGGGTGGGGATAGAAGGCACCTATGAACTGGCAGTGTTTGGCCAGTAGTCTGATAAATATTGGGTCACATACTGGACACAACTGCTTATCTAGACTTCAAATCACCAAAAAGGCCCAAACAGCCAGAAATTGACACACCCCCCCTCCCATAAGATGGAAGAAACTCAGCAAATACATTCACAAAGTAACCCAACAAGGTTCTAGAATGGTCCTAGAAATATTTCCTTGTGTTAAAAAGTAACAAGATTGAAAAGCACTGAAAGATTCTAAAAATTCACCAAGATCAAAGGCCTTTTTCTTTTTTTCGGTATTGATATTTAAATGGATTTTCAGTAGAAAACTTAATAGACTTGTGAGCTCTGTTAACCAGAACCTTAACTTACAGGTTAAGAACATACCATTAATTAATCTCTAGGTAAATGGGAATTTTACCTCACAAAGTTAGAACACGAGATGTTATTGTTTCCTTGTAATGAAATGAAGAAGAAAGGAAAATGTTGGGTTAAGCATTTATTTTTAAAAACTGTTGGGCTAGGGCCGAAGTTGTGGCTCAAGTGGTAGAGTTACCTGCCTAGCAAGCACAAGGCTGTGAGTTCAACATCCAGTACAACAACAGACCCCCAAAACCTGTCATGTTTTATTTATTAAATGCTACATTTTCACTCTAGTTACCACTTAATGATCATACATGTTTTCATTTTGAAGTATAGAAGAATTAGTTTTGCTTTGAAAATGTTGTCTTTCTACATGTTAGTCTTGAATGATAGGTTCCTTTTCACACTTAACCTTTGAAAAGTCATCTGAACATAGAAAGCTGGAGGAAGAATTACCCATTTAATAATGAGGAAATAATGCTGGAATTTAGAATTAATTGACTAAATTGCTTTTTGGGGGCAGAATTTGTTGACCATTGTAATGTAGTTGTATAGTTGTATGTAGTTGAAAATAGTTTTCATTATAAACCAAATTAGATCTAAAAAGTTTGGTTGGTTTTTGATGTATTTTAAAAGTTTTTCAGTAGGTTTCTAAGAGTAGTTTTTATACAAATTCTGAAGTCACTCCCTTACTGCATCTAGTATCTCCTCCCTCTCATTATAGTGACTTGTTTAAAATAAAGCAATTTCTAAAGAAAAATAATTGTTGATGTGCTGGTAAGATTTCATTATAGTTTGTCGTTTTAGTGTTTAAAAAATAACTATAATCAAAAAATATTTAAGAATGGTGTGTTTGAGTAACATTCTAAAAGGTGATAGTGATACGATATCAGGCTAATACTGTTTTTTTTTCTTTAAACTGTCAGAACTTGTTATGAAGCTATATATGTAGATCATGAGTTGCTTGGAAGTTTTTAAAAGTTGTTCCTATGTCAAAATTGGGAGTGTAAGTGTAATGGTGTTTATTATTTTACTTTTGAATAAACGTTTCACAGTAAAGACTTGTTATAGAAAGTTATCTTCAAAAATATTGTTGACTGTGGAATGTTAAAGCTAGTAACCTCAGCCATCTAGAGAATTAGTTCATTGATGGGAAAAAAATCAGGATTATTGGAGCATTTTCTAGCAGCGAGCACTATCCCCATAGGTGTCACTTTTTTTTTTAATTCATTTATTCACATGTGCATACATTGTTTGGGTCATTTCTCCCTCTACCCCCTGCCCCACCCTCTCCTCCCCCACCCCTAGGTGTTCTTTTTATATTTGATTTACTAAAAATACTGGCATATTCGTGAGTTATTAGAATGATTTTAGAATCTGTATTTAAAAGCTCTTTATGAAAAAAATGACCTAATTTCCAATTTATGTGTCTTTAAACATGGGATTTAAAAATCTTAGGATCTATTTATATAGAACTCCTCGTGGTCTTTTTCTGTTAGCGTTGGAGAATTTATAAAGCCTGTGAGGTGAAAAAAATGAGTAAATTAAAAAGTTGATTTATTTAATTCTGCGTAGATTGTGCTTCACCCCTACAAACCAATAACTTTCATTAAGCAATAAGAATGCATCTGTAAAAACCCAATTTAATCTTCAGGTTTCTTAAGTCTTAAAATCGACTTCCCTTCTCCCTTGGAGTTATACAGTTAGTAAGGGGCAGGGCCACGGTTTAAACAGTTTAGGTTTACTTCCTCTAAACTTACATGAAAAGGTGATAAAGTGTCCCACAAAGCAACCTAATCTGAGTGACACTGCAAAGCATTTGGATTGTCCTGAGTTGTATAAGTTTTTGCTTGTCACTGGCTTTTAATTTGGTGTAGTATCAGTGACTAAAAGCAAAGAGACTTCTACTCGAGTAGGTGTTTTAAATAGAATATCATAATGCTTTTTAAGATGCTGAAATTTAACTCATAGGTAGCATTAAGAAATTAAACTTAGTAAAATACTATAGATAAGGTACTATATAAATACTATAGACAAAGTACTGTATTTTAGTTGGGATGGTTGATTTACTTGCAACTAAGGATCACATTTTAAATTTTTAGTTGCAGCATTAGAAACCATTCTTGGTGCTACTTTTGAAAGTCTTGGTAGTTTTAACTTGGCTACTTAGGCATTTTCGAAGTTCTATTTGTATCATACCTGCAGGTGTGAAAGCAACTTGAAAAAAGTCTTTTATTCAAGGCAGCAGAGATAGTAGGTATTGTACTTTAAGCAAGATACAGTCATATAAGTTAAATTGGTATGAATCTTAATCTCATATTTTAAGAGAAGATGCATGCTAGTATTCTTGAGAGGCTAAAATAAGTGTTAATTTATCCATAATTAAGATAAATAGATCTTCCACCATGCTATAAAGTTAGATTGCTGCACTTAACTGAGTAAAGATAGAATGGAGTTGGTGTTGTGTTCATTGTATGTAATGTGTTCATTTTTTTGGGTATTAGTTTAACCTTTCTTCATTAGCGTAAAAAGCCAGAGTGCTTTTTGTGCTGTCAAAATACTAATAATGCTTGTCTCAGAAGAGCCACTCAGCAACTACTTTTACTTTCTACAAAATTGTAAGTTTTAAGAGTGGGCTCCTTACCCTACAAAATGGAGTGAGGGAGATGTTTTAGAGCAGTAACTAGTGATCAATCTGTCAAAAATGAGAGAGAAAACTTGTTTAAGGGTTGGTGGAGTGGCTCAAGTGGTAGGCCCCAGTGCTGGCCTCCCCCACTTGCAAAAAAAAAAAAAAAAAAAGAAATACAGTTTATCAAGTAAGTCTCTAATTTAAGAACCCTAAGAACATTTTGCAGTACTTAATAGATTAGTGATGACTGACCCATAAGGTCACATTTGATTAGGAAGGTAGAAGAGGAGTGTGATGTTTTGTAGAAAAACATTTCAAATAGTTGAAGGTTAAACAATTAGGGATTAGGGAAGGGAGGCAGTACTTGAAGGACAGTAGAATACTTGACTAACCATTCTCTATAATGGTGTTGGATAGCTGAAACTTTGCTGCATGTCTTACTCTAGTTTTTTTTGAGAAGTAGAAATAATTGTATGGAATATGTAAAAGTTACACTTGGGATTTGTTTAGGAAAGATAGTGATTTTAGTGACCCCTTTGTAGTGGTTGAAGCAGGCTAAAGACTGTTAAAGGTGGAAAGTTTTCTTTAGAGAACCTTTTACGGGGCCATTAGACTAATTGGTGTGCATATCTAATACTTAAAATTAATTTCCTAACTCAAAAACAAGATTAGAATAGTAATAGAACATACCTCATTCTAAATGTGAAGTTGCTTTGTAATTATTTTTTCTTAATTTTAAATTAAGACTATCCCAAGCATTACTTTGAATCATTACTTGAATAAATAAAGTCAAAATTAGCTGTCTTTATATTTAGTGAATAGACCAGACAGAACTTTCTTGCCTTTCAAGTTTACATTTTTAAGATGAGGCTTTTATTACAGCTCTGTTTTCTATATGCTGAAATAATTTCAAAGTTCAATTGATGGGAAATGTCTATAACAGAAATGGTGGTTTTAATAGTTCAGTTTCACCTGAACTTGTTTCTGTTCTCGAACTTGCTATGAATATCCAAATGAGAGGTCATTGCTGTATAGTCAGTACTCTTTCACATCTTAAAAAAAAACAGCATGTCACCTTGAAATAGGGTAAATGTTAGTTAGGAAGTTTCAACTATGAAGGAAGTACTCTGGATCTTTGGGATAAAAGACATGTTTATTACCAAGTACTTAGTAGGTAGGAGTCACACATTAGAAGTTGCATTATTTGATTGTGTATTGAGAAAACACCTCAAAAGTTTCCCTGGCATTTGCAATAAATATTTAAAATACCTATTTCAACATTATGGGTGTTTTGATATTTGATTATAAAATACCAAATGTGGTAATACATGTCATGAAACTTCAAGCATGGAAGTTTTGTTTGTAAAAGTCCTGAAAATGAAGCAGATAAATGGTCCATCTCTAGAATACTTACGTAAGTTGAAAACCTAGCTTGAAATGAAAATCACAGTACTTAACCAAGTAAGGATTCTTTTGCTCTAAAAAACCCTACTTCTTGTGATAAGAATGGGCCTTAGTGGCAGTATCTTCAAAGCCCACAAGATGGAGATGTTTTGTATGAAAGGCTTGCTTTAATTTCTTTCTAGAACTGGAACTTGGTACCATATTGTCCCTGTCCTATCCCTGATCCCACTCCCAGTTATAAAGAGGAAAAACCCTTAAGCAAGCATGAATTTTTACCCCTGCATAGCAAATTCTGACAGTTTACTCTTAAAAAATTTCCAGTCTATCTCGTTAAAAAAATAAAAGATATAGATTAATTTTTCTTAATACTAGTACAAGTTGCAGATGCGGAAAAAGGGTCTGTCAGATCTATGCTTCCTAGCATTTTGCTGTAATAATAATGTTAAGACTTAATCTTAAACAATTTTTTTGTTACTGTGTATCTTTGTTCTTGGTGGTTTTCCACCTATCACCTGTCACTTTTAGTTTTTTTTTTTTTTTTACAGGTTTAAATATTTTATTACTGGTTAACTGAGGTACTATTGTAAGTAAATCATCTGAGTTAGTGGATTGTGCTTCAGTGAATAATTCTTTTCACCAAGTTGATTAATTAACTTGATTACTTCTATTGAGCACTCTTTACAGAACAAAAATGTTCAGTTTGTGAGGCATAAGAATTTGTGCCAAGAGCTCTGCTGATGATAGAACTCTTAAAAATAGAAAAGGAGCTTCAGATACAATGTTGATTATCAGTGGAGGGGACTGCTGCATTCGAGGACTTTAATGAATATTTGAAAGAAATTTAAAGCTAAGATTCTATCTTGATATTATCAGTAGTTAAGAAAAGCAATGTTTAGTATTTTTACTTAAGGCATACATTTATTTATTTTTAGTGAATAGAAAGCTCTAAATTTGCTGCTTGCTCACTGTTATAATTACTCACGAGCAGCAGTGACTTGAAACTTTTAGAATAGGATGTTACAGATGTGTGCCTATGTAGGAAGAATGACATTTTAATACTGCCCAGTATGTTGGTGCAGTTTGAAAAAGGTGTGATATGTTGGATAATATTTGAGGCAGAGTTTTCTTTTTTAAAAGTGTTTTAACACTGCTTTTTGTCTTTACAGGAAAATGTTTATAGGAGGCCTTAGCTGGGACACTACAAAGAAAGATCTGAAGGACTACTTTTCCAAATTTGGTGAAGTTGTAGACTGCACTCTGAAGTTAGATCCTATCACAGGGCGATCAAGGGGTTTTGGCTTTGTGCTATTTAAAGAATCGGAGAGTGTAGATAAGGTAGTGTGTTATGTATTCTGATCAGTTAATGTAAAATAATGAAACATGGATACTCAGATGTAATGAATTTGCACATTATTTGGTTTATCTTCTTACAAAAGTATAAGAAGGAAGAGATATATTTCTTGCCAGTACATTTTATGAAGGGAAAGGCAGATTCAGGAATTATTTGCTGAATACTTTCTTCATGTCAGGCTTTACTAAATTAAAATTAACTTTTAAAGATACTGAGACTTGACAGGAAGTATAGCACATGCCTAGTTTGTGCAGTGTCTGTGTTCATTCCCCAGCACCACACACAGACACAGAAGACTTAAGAATGTCTAATTAAAATGATGTGCTGTGACAAATTAACAAATGTATATTTTAAAATTTGTTAAGCAACTTTTGATCAAGTCAGGGTTTTGGTTCTGGCCTAAGGAGAAGTGTCAACTATGTTTATGTTGCTAGCAGTTAAAAAGTTGGTTACTTAGCTGTTGGTTAAATTTGTGTGGTCCTCTCCCTTCCTCAATTCTTACTTCAATGTTTCAGTTCAAACACTGGTGTATATTAGCTGATGTCATAGCACCACATGACTTGGCAATTTAATCTGGCATTAGCAATATTTAACTATAATTACTTTTAAGTAAGTTGTCTCTGAACTTGTTATACATATTTAAAATGAAAAACTTAATTTCCTTAGGTCATGGATCAGAAAGAACATAAATTGAATGGGAAGGTGATTGATCCTAAAAGGGCCAAAGCCATGAAAACGAAAGAGCCTGTTAAAAAAATTTTTGTTGGTGGCCTTTCTCCAGATACACCTGAAGAGAAAATAAGGGAGTACTTTGGTGGTTTTGGTGAGGTATGTTATGTTTTGACCCAGTTTATTATCAAAATTAGTGTGAATGTGATTGCACGTTAAATAGACTTAGGCACTGGATTTTTCAAAGCTTGTTAAAGTGGAGGCAGGATTATGTGGTTTGTTTTGGAGTAAGGATATTGAAAATACATTATAAGAACATCTTTGATGGTTAAATAATAACATTGAGGACCTATGTATGTGAAGGACTGCAGAGTACACAGATGAAATAAGCATTCCTTTGTTTTTAAAAAGACGCAGGGTCTTGCTGTGTCACCCCAGGCTTGAAATTCCCAGGCTTACGTGATCTTGTTCCTTCAGCCTTCCAAGTAGCTGAGACCACAGGCATGTCCACTGCACCTGGCTTGGGCAAGCATTCTTAACTCACATCTCCTGGAATAGTGAAAGAAATCCAGATTGGTTTACCTGAAATACAGAGGGAAACTTTTGAGAAGAGGAAAGCAATGAATTAAGACTTAGGGTATAGTGAGGGAAGAAGGGATAAGAAAGAGTAATAGAGATGAATATGATGAAAGACCATTATATGCATGTATGGAAATGTCATGATGAAATCTCTTTTACTGTGTACAATTCAATATATGCCAGTAACACAGGGTATAGTGTTTTAACAATTAAAATACACATGTAAGTACAAATTTAAGGAGACTAATTATAGACTTAGTGAAAGAGTAAGATGCAAGTTCATCTTATGAACTAATGATTTTAAGGTAAGCTGTGGCCTTGGCCCCACATAAAACCTGCTCACATTTTTTGTTTAATTCAGATAGAACAATTACTTCATTAGAATTTAGGAATTGAAAATACTCACAAAAATCTGAGTATATGTAACTTTTCTTAAATATTTGCAAGAAAAAGCAACACTAGAACTGCCACTGCTTTCTTGCATGATAGTGGCCACACAGTTGCATTTTCTGTTTTGGGTTGTGCATATGCTCTTTTACTTTCTAGTAGTCTTGCCCATTCCACTTCTTGTTTTCTCCCACATGCAGACTTTTTTTTTCTATTTTTCTTGAACTCGTCTTGTTCTTTGGGCATCTGAGTTTGTGATCCTTGAGTTAAACTGCACACATCAGTTTCTAGTGAAACTTGGTTTTGGGATTCGTTGTAAAGACTTAGGTAGAGTGAGTATTACAATACGAAGAATCTCTTAAGGATTAGAATAAGCAGAGAGAGACATGGCAGAATAGAGCTTGAGGGCCAAATAACTTTTCTTTGTGTATTTTTTCCCCTCCATTAAACTAAATTTGTGTTACTAATGTCAATAGGATGCAAACTAGGATACTAAATCTTATTTTTTGATACCAGGTGGAATCCATAGAGCTCCCCATGGACAACAAGACCAATAAGAGGCGTGGATTTTGCTTTATTACCTTTAAGGAAGAAGAACCAGTGAAGAAGATAATGGAAAAGAAATACCACAATGTTGGGCTTAGTAAAGTAAGTTAACTGGCAGAGAAAAATTATTACAGAGTTGAGTGGTTTGGCTTTCTGTAAAGGACTCAATCTGTGGTTTAATTAATTGGCTCCTTATTTATCAAAGTCATTGATACCTTCTTTTGCTTTTATTGGGTACTTGGAGGGACTCATTTGTTAAAAGTGTTTTTATTTATCTAGGCTTCTAGGCTTTTATCTAAAAAAGAATTTAGGACCTGACAAATAGAATGAAGTAACATCTCTAGCAAGTATTAATGATTAATTTAATTGATAAACTAATTTGGAGTAAAGTACCAAATTAGTCAACTATATTCAAACAGTATTGGCTATTCTGATGATTATAAATTTGTGAACAACTTTGTTGAATCAATGTAATAACATAATTTTATCTTTTAGTGTGAAATAAAAGTAGCCATGTCGAAGGAACAGTATCAGCAACAGCAGCAGTGGGGATCTAGAGGAGGATTTGCAGGAAGAGCTCGTGGGAGAGGTGGTGGTAAGCTATGGCCTAAGTTTACTCTATCTTAAGCTTTGCTGCTTTTTAATTATCCTAAGTAAAGATCTTTGCTGATCTGACTTTAGTGAACCTATTAATGTGCTGCAGGCCCCAGTCAAAACTGGAACCAGGGATATAGTAACTATTGGAATCAAGGCTATGGCAACTATGGATATAACAGCCAAGGTTACGGTGGTTATGGAGGATATGACTACACTGGTTACAACAACTACTATGGATATGGTGATTATAGCAGTAAGTACTATACTTTTTATATTAACTGCTATTTGACATTTATTTTGTACAAATTTGGATAGGTAGAAAAGTTAGTGTAGCTTTGCCAAGTGCAAACTTCTTCAGGTTTCAAATTCCTGAAATTTTAAACTGCAGCCATTCTATTGCTAGGTTCCTCCCAGCCTTATATCACATGCATACTGTAAGGGTAGGG